AAAAACAAAAATGTATATAAAGCTAAATAATAAAAAGTGTCCTTGTCCTCCTGTGTCCCCTCTGCCCAAAGCCCACACACACTCTAAATGCCCCACCAGCAGGGAAACTCTTCTGTGTGGTTTCTCACGTATCTCAGAACTTCTTATATTCAGGAATTCGAGTTTCTTTGCCCTGGAGGATACATTTCGGCTGCACTGATAGAATAACCTCTTTCTGTGCACATCAGCTGTAAGTGTGTGTTTGTTAGGAGCTCCTTTCACAGCCTAGGATGGATCTGTGCCTTTGGGAACGTATGTGTTTGGTCCAGTAGCACATCATGGAAAATCTAACCTCTGAAGCCCTCAGGACCCCATCACATGTATGGAGAACTATTAGCTTTACTTATCTAATAAATTACACAATGGAGTAAAGTGCACTTTTATGATCTTCTCGTCTCTCTTAGTTGTAGTTCTTGGCTCCTGATCAAAAGCCACCTTGTGCTTTCAGTTTTTATTAATTCAAATTAATATCCATGAACACTGGTGAAATTGAGCCCAAATACACAAAAATGTAATCTGAGGACTTTCAGAAATAGAAAAATAATTTTACACATGTACACAGCACTGCCAGGCACTATGAGAGGCACAGAGGAAGGTAAAACTATGCGGCATGGTCTCTGCCTTTTTATTACGAAATATATTTACTTTACAGAGTTATTGCAATTTACTTTAGTTTCTACATGTACCACGGTATGAAAACTTTCATATGTCTAACAAATTGATATTTGCCAACAGTTAGGATGAATTGAACTGTGCAATTGTAAATCTTAAAGAATGTGTTTTCAAAACATATTTGGACTGATGAAACTACTCACATCATTTGATATTATTCATTTCCATGTGATGTATCATTCTTATTAATCCCTTTTGTAGTGATGCATACCAGACCTCTATGGAAAAGTAAAGAGCTTCTCATTATATCTTGACATATAAGTAAAAAATCATTATACTTGGAAAATAGCTATACACCCTTCTTCATACCCATGAAAGTTTAACTTTTTATAAGTGCTGGATAAAAACAATCACCATTTGCTCCATAATTCAGCTGTAGGAATTGCACATTTTCCCAGAGTCAAGAAGGTTCCTGTAATCATAGTCTTAGATGTTGAAATCTTAACAAGCTGGAAGTAAAATAGGTAAATAAATAAATGCTAACAAACATGTAGTTCAGAAATGCCTCGGCTTGTAAGAAACATCTGAGTGTTTAAACGTATGCACTAAATGTGTACAATACACTGAAGCTTTTAAAGTCTTGGCCGAGTAAAACATAGGCAGTAACTTTGATGTACTAGAAATGTGTTCTTCCAGCATCATCAAACATTAACTATAATGTATGTATATCTTTTAAGTTAATAAAACAGTAAGTTGATCATTTATTCTTATAATTGAAAAATAGTAAAATTTTAAGATAGAGTTTCATTTTTACTTTAAGAAATGCTTGCTTGAAATTATGTTAAATTTGAAAGAAACTCAAAAATATGTTACACTGGATTTAGAACTGAATCAATATTTTACCAGTAACATTCAGTGATTAATCAAGGACTAATTACTAAAGAAAATTTTTTCCTAACACCCATGAAAGTCCACTAAATATACTACAATAAATTTAAACCCAAAATATTGTCATGGTTTTTAAAATTATTTTAAATTAAAATACTCTACATTCTCCACTGTTACCATCTTGAGCCATATGAGAAATGGAATTCAAACCATATAATTTCTTCCTCTCTCCACATTGAGAGACTGAGATTTTCTCTCACTTGGTGTTCAGCTGCTAAAGAAATCTCTACTGGATAAATTAGGTATTTGTATAGCAGCATTCCTGGGGCTGCTGAGGAAAGAAGAGGTAAGGCACAAGGGGACAGGGAGCGCTGTGGCCATTCCTTTAGGGAGCTAATTAGGTTCTTAGCCAGATGCCTGGGCATGGCTCTTCTTAGGTAGAGCCACCTCCAGCCTTTCCTTCCATCATCACTGCAGGGGGCAGTGGCAACCCAGAGAGCCTTTTCCTCCTTCATTTTGGCTCTGGTTCAGCTTACAGATCCCTCAGCCAAGAACCTGAGAAGGCAGGATGAGATCGGGAAGCCTTCCTGGATCTTTGCCTGCAGTGGACAGTGCCAGCTGGACTGCCCCAGAGGGACAAACGTGCCCTGCAGAACCCTTCAGCGGACGCGACTTGATCCAGGCTATTGAAATCTCTGTAGAGTCTTCCAGGACAACTTATAAAAGAAAACATTTCCTCTGTACTGGTTACACTCTTAGTGAATTGTACATTCATCTTCAATAGGGTCTGCGGTCTCAAAAAATAGCTCATGTGATATAATTCACCAAATTACTGTCAGTGGGACAACGTTTTATATTCCACATGGTAAAATACGAATTATTTCTAATTACATTCTAAAAGGCCAAGGCAAGGACTTGAACAATCGCACTGAATTATCTTTTAGCAACTATGGGGGAGACATTTTGATGCAGTGGTCCTTCTTAAAGTCCAGCAAATGGTACAACTTTGCTTTCTTATGTAATCCGTGTCTTTTGAAGTAATTGTGCAGCAAGCTGTAAGACAGCTCCATCACCTCTCATGATTATTTGACTGCAAAGAATGCTTTTGGAAAACCATTATATCTTCCCAGGCAAAGCCAAGTGCCAAGTTACACCATTTACATTTGCTAAAGGTTTTGCCCTTTAAAATATTTAACTTAATTCTTTGGCATTAACTGAATAAACAGATGTCTATTCTGTACCTACCTTGTAGAGGATGGGGGCGGAGGGGGATGGAGGGAGGAGATGAAGGGCTATAGTAAAAATTGAAACAAATAAGAGAGCTATGTTTTTATGGAGGTGTTTTTCCTAGTAAAGAACTGCTTTATTAAGATGAAATAAGACTGTTTAATTAGATTTTTGTTAGATATGCAAAGGATTTCACTTTCGGTTTCTCCAAATCAGAAGCCTTCTAAGTGAAACTTACTTATCTGCAAGTTTTTAGGAGCATGTGTAAAACAAATTATATGTTAGTATCTACATTTGAATAATTGATCTTTGTTTTTGCATTTAAAATACAATATTAAATGAATTAGTAATTATATAAGGATAATTACTAAGAAAAAAAACTGTGAATTTTGACATATACCTTCTCTTTCAGCACTATTTCTACATCCCCTACCATGCTTAGTATTCAATATTGATTTTTTTTCCCAGACAAAGGGAGCTCAGGAATACAATTTTAGGCTTAGTAACCAGTAGCAGATGTTAAATTCTCAAGGAGAGCTATTTGGAAAATATAATCCGCAGGTGAATCATTTCAGAAAGGAGAATTTCAAGGCTTGAGTTGAACTCTTAGCAAAAGAGATAAATCATTGAAGTTATCAAACCAAGTAGCACACTGGGACATGCTTAGAGCTGAGAGGCTGTTTGAAGGGGAGAGGGACCATGAGAAACCATTGTAAGTTGTCCAAAAACTGCTACTTCATCTGATGGAGATTCTATTATGTTTTGTTTTGTTTTTGTTTCTGTTTTTGTTTTAGTTTTGCCAGTAAAGTGTGATTTGCCTATACCTGTTACTCTGGTGCCACTAATAACCCCATGCTTTCTCCTTTGGACAGGTGTGGTATTCCCTTACTTTCCACGACTGGGGCGCTATAATCTCAATTTTCATGAGGCACAGCAGGCTTGTCTGGACCAGGATGCTGTAATTGCCTCCTTCGACCAGCTGTATGATGCCTGGCGGGGTGGGCTGGACTGGTGCAACGCTGGCTGGCTCAGCGATGGCTCAGTGCAATACCCCATCACCAAGCCCAGGGAGCCCTGCGGAGGCCAGAACACCGTGCCCGGTGTCAGGAACTATGGGTTTTGGGATAAAGATAAAAGCAGATATGATGTGTTCTGCTTTACATCCAACTTCAATGGTAAGATATTAACTGTACTGCCTTCTTCCCTATACCATAGACTAATAGGTACTATGACGCTACACTTGACTTTCAATCTTATCTACTTAAAAAGATAAAAGCTTTGAAGTATTGCTCTAGTTTGAAAAGATATAAAAAGTTCTTTGATGTCCTAATTTTTTTTAAAATCCACAGAAGTCAAGCAAAAGTGTAGAATTCCACTATTCTTGGGTTTTATTGTGTCTGATTATTACTATGAAATAGTTTAAGCTATGATGTTGTCTGGTGTCTGTTTCTTATTGCAAGGATGCTGCTGCTACCATGTGCCCTCCCTAGGATATAGCTCTCCAGGTTGAAGTAAGGGTGGCTTCTGTGTCATGTTCTCCTTCACTAACTTACAATGTCAGTATATTCATAAATGATCAACAAAGCTCAGGATGAAGAGAAGTTTGCAAAAAGAATAAATAGAAATAACATTGCCGGTGAAAGCAGAAGAAAAGAGATCCAGGTTGCTTCCGTGTTGATGACTGGTTCTTTGCCTTCAACATCACTCCCAGCCCTACCTTCTCCATCTAGACCCAGCCACATAATGTGGGGATGAAAATGTTGGTTCCTTGATCAAAAATCATTGAGAATTTTAAGATGGTGACAGCAAGGCAGTAAGCCAATCATGAGGCTATGTGCCACTGCACAGGCCACACACCCATGAAGTAAACTCTGACCCCTTCATTGGTATGTAAGTTCCGTGGTGACATGTTTTGGAAAAAATTGCAAGGAATCAGGGATCAACAAACTTTCTGTATGGGGCCAGATAGTAAATATTTTTTGCTGTGTGGGCCATATGGCCTCTTTTTCAACTACTCAATCAATTTAGCTTTGTATATAGTAACACAAAAGCAGCCATAGACAATATTAAATGGAGGGGTGTGGTTATGTTCTAATGAAACCTCATTTGACTCCTGTTGTAGCTTGCTGACCTCTGGTGTAGATGATAGAACTAACGCTAGTAGCTAATGTTCCAGCGGCCTCCACTCTTTCTCAGAACCACATCATCTTAGTCTAGAAAGAATTGGCAAGCATTGATTTACACTTCAATAATCTATGTTTAATGAGGGGTAAGGAGATATTACATTACAATGTATATCAGATAAGAGAGTGATTATATTCTACCGGAAATGAAGTCTGAGAAAATCTTCAATTGGCATATGTCACTTCAGTCAGTTGATGTCATATTTTATGTATTTTATACATATTGAAGGAATCTCAGTAATTAACACTATTCAATAAGTGGGTGAGACTAACTTGCTCTTTCTTGTGAAATTAAAAAACAAAAAACAAAAACACTTAGGTATCAAGTTCCCACAGAATAAAGTTGGAAAAAATAAATAAATGCATCCTCTGCTAGGGAGTGAACAGACTAGGTCCACAGTCTGAGCCAGTATTATTTATGGCAAGTGACTTCCTGTATTTTTTTTTTTTTTTGCATTTTCATACTGTAGTCTTTGAAGAAGAAGAATGTCTTATTGATACCTGTAATGAAAAGGACTTGAGGGCTTTGATTTTTTTTAAATAGACTTTTATGTCAGGAATGTTTTTTGATCCTTTCACATTCAAATGTTGCCTCTCCAGAAACTTGTGCTGGGGCTCAGTCCCGCCACAGCCAGAATTTCAATAGCCCTTGCTTTGAGCATGGACTTCTGTCTTCCCTAGCGCCACAGAAGGGCCTTTTAGTCACTAATTAGCGAACAGAAACTGCATCTGCCATTTCCCTTTTCCTTTTCAAAGCTATAAAAGGGCATGTCTGAACATGGATTAAGGGGCAAAGAAAAATCAACTGATTTAATGGAGAGCGACTCCGGGGCACTGCATTTGACTGAGATCCCAGGTTCCAAAACCTCTACAGACATTGCTCCATACCCCACTTCACTGGAAACCACGTCTGTTGGGGCTCCTTCCCTCCCCGCGTGGCTCAGTGGCACACGGGCCCATTGACCTCTCTCCTCCTCTCCGCAGGCCGCTTTTACTACCTGATCCACCCCACCAAGCTGACCTACGACGAAGCGGTGCAAGCTTGTCTCAACGATGGTGCTCGGATTGCCAAAGTGGGCCAGATATTCGCTGCCTGGAAGCTCCTGGGATATGACCGCTGCGATGCGGGCTGGTTGGAGGATGGCAGTGTCCGCTACCCTATCTCTCGGCCACGAAGGCGCTGCAGTCCTACCGAGGCCGCGGTGCGCTTCGCCGGCTTCCCAGATAAAAAGCATAAGCTGTACGGTGTCTACTGCTTCAGAGCATACAACTGAGCGTGCCCTGGAGCACGTCGGGTTTAAAGTCATTCAGAACATGTGAAAGGTGTTTTGTTTTTTTTCCGTATGAACTCATGCAAGTTACCAAAACTGTGATAACCCTTTTTTTACTTACTGTAAAGAGTCATTTTCATAAAGACCAATTCATTAATTTGTTTTTGTAAAGCTATCATTCAATATATATTGTAAATTAATATAATTTTAAGGGAAGTCCCACATAAGGAGGCTTTTGAGCCAAACCCTTTAGGCTATATCATCCCAAGGAAGCATCCTTTCATGGGCGGGGCATGCAATAATTTGAGGATTGCTAGGGTTAAGTTAAGGAAAGGAAAGTTACCCGGAGCAGCAGCTTCCACAAGCACAAATTTTACACATTTGTACGATTTTGAAATGCACAAGAAACAAGTTAGAGCAGCAGATTTGACATAAGGCTTCTTTACATAAACTGAGATTCTGAGAGGTGGCACAAAACTCAGTCTCACAGGGGAATAATCTACACTTTTCTAAAAGTTCCTATTGCAAGTCTCCAGTAGAATATTTTACTCTTGAAACATCCTGCCTTTTGACCAAAAAAAAAAAAAAAAGAAGAAGAAGAAGAAGAATTCATATGGACTCCAATGCATAGTAAAAAGCACAGTTAAAATTCCTTAATAACCCCGTTTATATGAAGTATGAAATTTAAATAAGCAGATATTTAACCCATGAGAGACTCCACCTTCTTCTAATTAAAATTACACACACCTAAGAAGAATTGCGTTATCTTTTGAGTAGCTTTACTGAGTTACATTTAAATTCTAAGGGTCGTTGGCTAAGCAGCATTTCGCATCTACTCAGGGCAGTTATATAGATAAACTGCTGGACAGAAAAATTGTAAAATTTAGCAGCTTGATTTTATGTTAGCCTATGAAATGTTATTGTCCTATAAAAAGAACTTTAAACTATTTAATATTTTCTTCTTATTTACATTACATTAAAACATTTAACTCATAAAAGGAATGAATAACTGCACACTTTCCTAACCAAGAAATAAGGACCCAACTTTCAAAATTCTTTTTTATTATTATTATTATTTGTATGTACATTAGAAAGCCCAACTGGTGCCTGTGGTTGGGGGGAAAATGTCAACCCAGTAGTTCTAAACCTTCCTCCATAAGAAAATGTGGTCCATGATATCACTTTCCCTGCTGGTCATCATTAGGTGTAAATGAAACACTGAACCTGTCATCATAGAGTTTACACTAAAATCATCAGGGCTGTAAGGGAAAAGGTAAGGCCAGCTTCAGAAAAACAACTTTTGCATTAGCGGCTCCAATCTTAAATAAAGCTCTGTTTTCCTATATTTTTATGACTGTTGAGACCCCACAGGGACCAATATTTGTATTCAAATTACATTTTATGGTTTCCCATTGTTTCACAATGAGTTCTAATAAATGGGATTTAGTATCATAACCCAAGTATGACATAGCTGGTGTGCTTTCATGAATGTTTTTATGTAGATTTTCTTCCCGTGAACATGAGTTAATAAATCTGTTTCCTGAATTGATTGTGGTTGCATTTAAAGCTCTGTAATAATTCTAATAAATGTACTCTCTAAATGTAGAGTTACATGTGTGGAAGATACAGAACAATTGGGAGTCAATAAAACCATAACTATACTTACATTATCTAGATAAAATGTTGTACATAAAAGTAAATCACTTCTTTTATCAAAAGCATAGCTGGAAATTTTCAGATGCTTTAATATTAAAAGATGACAGTATATGCATGCTCAGTTTTACATTAGGTTGGATATGCAAATTGTGCAAAAATTACAAATATAAATCCAAAGAGTTTGTGAGGTTTAACTCAAACATTGCTGATATAAATAGAACTTGAACTTTTAAATTAAAAATATCTGAATGGTCTAAGATGAATATGTTATTTAAAGATGGGACTATCTCCAAAAGAGTGATTCTAACAGCTCAACTATGGGGGTGAGCTCACTGGAGAAAGCCCATACTTGAATGATTATTACCCATGTTATAAGATTTTTATTGGAAATGCAAGTAAGAACAAATTTATATTGAAGAAGATATATAATGTTCAGTTAATTGCTGCAAAGCTCTACCTTTATAATGTTAAGCATAGTAGCTACCATTTCTTAACTTTTGAATACTTACTAGTATAGAAACTGGTGCTGATCAAAAACTCTGGACTGACTTTTAGCTGATTAAAATCTAAATTGATAGCACACCATTTTTCTAAGCTTGTAAAAAAAAATAAATACTGCCGGGCAGAATTTTTATCTTCTTATTTCTCCTAAAGGATGAGGATCTCCTTACCCTTTTGGACTTCTACTTGAATAGTTCTTGGTTGTTTTTTTAATGTTATCATTTTCCATTTTTCCACCAAATGTCTATTTTCCTACTTCATTCCCCAATATATCACTGAGAATATTGAAAAAAAAAGGTTATCCTAATACCTTTCTGAACTGAAAGTCAGTACAACATTGACTAATTCAGAAATTGCTCCTCAGACTTGGGTTCCAAGGCTATCAGAGAAATAAGATGGGACTCAGGGTTAGAAAATCTTGCTTGGATCATTTTGTCCATAATTCACACTTATAGCCCATATAAGCAACAAAGTTTATCTGCAAGTTTTACTGGGAGACCTACATTTGAAAACCAAACAATAAGGATTCATATAAAAAGACAATAGGAATGGAAGCAAGTTAATCACATTAACACTGGAAGCCATCTTTTAATGACTGCTGCCAGATTTTAGCACAGTAATTTTTAGTCAAATATGGTATTTGTAAATTTAAACTTTTTCGCATAGGAAGGGGGCCGGTACCTGGTAAAGTTTTATTTTATGCAATAATGTAGCCGCTTATTATTTTGGCAATTAAAAGTAGACTCAAAGGAGATTCCAATTTGGTTGCTGGCAGCCATACTGGGTTTCTGGATTCAGTGCTCCAAAGAATATGGTGGTCTTATGGAGTAGCTGACCACTAGGAGGGGAGGATTAAAAGGGAATTACTATCAGTTCTCAGCATAGAATGCATCAAGAATGATCAATGGATAACTGACAGTTTTGTTGAGAAGTTAACTGTATCACAGCTCACTACTGCCAGAGCAGCAATGATGTACAACAAGAGAAATAAAAAATACAAAAAGTCAGCAAGGCACCTGGTTAAAGAAAATCAGTATTTAAAGGCATTTAATACCTACTGAGTACAAATCCAAGGAAAAGAACCAATCTGTATTATAAAAATAATGTTTTCATTTTCTGTAAGATACAATGAACTGGTAAACAAACATTAAAAGACAATTTTGTGTTAATGTAGTATCTTTTGATTCTTCTGAGTTGTATAACTTTAGCTATTATTCTTTGTGTCAAGCTCTATAAATACATTATTTTAAAGAAGACATCTACCCATTTTTTTTTGTAATACATTTGAGTTCAAATTGTAAACACATAGCAATTTCCATTTCCTGGGATTTTTGCAATGTTAAGAAAAAAAGGAGTATATTTATGGTGTTGCTAAATCAACAGTAGTACTATCCCAGAATCTAATGGCTTTTTTTTCTCTCTTTTTATATGATGCAAAGTATAATTTATTTTGCTCATTGGTTAGCAATTCCATAAATCTATTGTGTTGGTGATTAGGTTAAAATACTTGAGATACTTTATGACTTCAATTATTAGTTCTGAGTTAAAAGATCTCTGTTTATATAATAAAATTCTTCCACTCCAATAACAAGGGGCACATTTTTTTTAATATTTCCATTCCTTTCCTGAATTTTCAGTGTGGAAAGTTGTTTTTGGATTTTCTTAGTATGTAGAAATGGATTATTGGGTGCAAGAGTCTATTGGTGATACAATGACTTGAACACAAACACATCCAAAACATTTTGAGTCATTGATATTAAAACAAAAAGTGCACTTAAATTTGTTCCCATTCTAATTTGGAATACATTGAAAAACCTTGGAGAAGAAAGTTCAAGAAGATGAAATTAAACTTCTTTTAGTGTTTAAATTCTAACACAGATGAAGTATATAATTTTTACTTTGCAAGCAAATTTCATGTATTGCTATAACCTGATCATATACAAAACCCACTGGGTACTAGTACTGAAGAGTCCTATGGAGTTTCATCATGCTTAAATAAAAACAAGTTAAACTGTTCAGATGTAATGTCTTTAGTTCCCAACCAAGTGACAAAGCTTAATACTAAGACTATTCTTGAGTAAAAAGGACCCTGTCCAGGAGAGTCAGTTATGCCAGGAAAATAATAAAAGCAAAAGATTATTGGAGAATATGAGGGAGACGTGGATGAACTAATGATAAACTAACACTGAAAGTGTAAGAAAAGCATATTCCCTTTCCTGACTTGATTTCTTGGGCTGTCCACTTAGGATTATTTAGAGACACAACTTAAAATGCATCTGTAGTCTTTGCTTCTCAGTTGGTGATAGATATATCAGGACATTGACAGCAGACTACATCCCCACTCTTAGGGAGGAAATTCACTACACACATTTTCTTTGTCCTTAGAGAAGCAAACAAAACTTATTTATTTTCTCTGTATTTCTTTCAGGCCAATAAAATCTTGTCACCTTCATAGCCACTCATCATTTGAAACAACTTGGGTCAGCCCAGAGGGTGATTCCAGGCCTTTCTTGATATCAACCAATTTCCTTCTTAGCTTATCTCTGACCATTGGGGCTGTGCAGCATCACCTGCCTCAGCTATTAAGAGGTGGCTCTTTCGTTCAGTTGGTACCTGACCACAGTTTGAGCTCTGTTTATTAGGGGAGTCCTCCCCAGATGGAGAGAAAGCACAGATTCTCCATTACCTAACAATGAAACTATTGGCTTTGTCAACAAATGTAAGATGGTGATAGAATTCTAAGAATATTTTATTCCCATATTTTTCTTTCTAAGGAAGGGCTCAATTGCCAGTCTTCATCCTGTTTGAAATACATTTTGTTTTGTTTTTATGTTTCCCCCATTGATTTTCATCAATGTAAACTCTGCCTTCCAAAACTCATCTATAATAATAATATGCTAATTAGACCGGACGTCCTTCCGGAAGAAGCCAGGGCTGTGAGGGCCAGCTGGGGCTGCGAGGGGCTGTGAGGGCCCGTGAGGGCCAAAAGAGGCAGCCAGGGCTGCAAAGGCTGAGCCCCTTGTATGAATTTCATGCATCTAGCCTCTAGTCTATATATATAAAAGGCTAATATGCTAAGTGTCCATCCGGGTAATGATGTCACATCATGATTCCTGGCTTCCTCTCCCTAGCAACTAGCCTCCTTGGAGTTTCTTCAGCCGAGGAACACTACTTGCTTTATAGCCAAACCTGAGGGGTCCCAGGTTTGATTATTCCAGTCAACACATGCCCTGTTTGCAGGCTTGATCCCCAGTTCAGGATGTGCAGGAGGCAGATGATCAATGATTCTCTCTCATCATTGTTGTTTCTCTTTCTCTCTCTCCCTTCCACTCTGAAATCAATAAAAATATATAAAAAACAAAAACAACCTTTAAAAAATAATAAAAAGAGTGCAACCAAGACATAAAGAATTTTTAAACCTCTCCTCAACCTCAGTTAATTCTAATATGCAGCCAAGATTGGGAATCACTGACCTTAATATATTTAGGAGGAAAAATTAAAGCTATTCAATTGATATATATTAATTGAATAGCTTTAAAAAATTAAAGCTATTCAATTAATAACAATATAGAATTATATTGTTATTAATAGTTCACAATTAAACATACTTTTTAAAATAGTATAATTGGTTTAAATTTGATTGAACTTAGAATAGTCTTCAAACAAATATTCCATCCATTTGATGTACTATTTTCTTCTGGTTATAGTTCCCATTAGTAAATGTGTACCTAAGAACCTACTTATCTGCCTGCCTGCCCGATTATTGTCACTTTTGCAAAGATGACTTTAAACCATTTATACACATTCCTGATCAAACTCTTTCTCATCTAAAGTACTAATATCCGAGGACTATAACTGTAAATGTGTAAAATATTTTGGGAGGAAGAATCAAATTCCACATTAAAGTCAATGTCTTCTGAGTTTTCAATTATATCTCAGAAATAAGAGAACTATTCCCACTGTGAGCTCTACATTACAAACATGGGGCTTTCAGGAAAAAAAGCCAACACAATGCTGGTGACATAGAAAAGCGGATTGGGGGTGCAGGAGACAGGGAAGAAGAGAGTTAGGTCCACTGTGAGCTCTACATTACAAACATGGGGCCTTCAGAAAAAAGCCAACACAATGCTGGTGAAATAGAAAAGCAGATTGGGGGTGCAGGAGACAGGGAAGAAGAGAGTTAGGAAAGGGAGGAGGGAGAAAGAATCTACCTTTGTCCTGAGTGAAGATATATGTTTTGATGAAATCAATTTACCAGGTGCCAGAGACAACTTTTTAAAACTCTAAGAATACACATTAAAATACATAAATGCATCTGCTTTCCAAAAGCATATTTATTTTATGGTATATACATATGGAAACATGCATTCCCTATTACTTATCACTAATTCACTCATCACATAAAAACCATTGGGCTGTTTTATGATCTGAAGACAGCACTCAATACAGTGTTAAGAGCACAGAGTCAGATGCTGGGGTTCAAATCCAGCCCTGCCACGTACTGTCTTTGGTGAAATCATATATTTCTTGACCTTGGTTTCCCCATCTAACTGTAGAGATAGTGATATCTGATTAATGCCTGCCTCATAGGGTTATAATATTTGAATGAATTAATGTATTTTGGTAATAGTTAACACAATACACCACACTGTGCTAAATATTTTACATATATAATTTATTTAATTCCCTTAACCCTGTAATATAGATATTATCATCTATATTTTTTTAAATGAGGAAACAAAGGCCCAGAGAGTTTAAATGATTTGCTCAAGGTCGCATAGCTTCTTGTAAGTAGCAAAGTAAAGATACACATCAAGAGATGGTTGAAGAAGTCACCATGTTAACCAGTGCACCACATTTAACCTCATAGGAAATGATGAAACAGCTCCTGGTACAGAGTAAACACTCTGTAAACATTAGTTCTTATTAAATTATAGTTTATACATAGATTCACAAGTTAAATAAACAAAGAAGCCTTAGTTTCCTCATCTGAAAACAGGGATCAGAGAACCAACATTATACCTTTTTTTCTCATAATTAAATGAGATTATTTGAAGTTCATTATAACTCATCATTAAATACTACCTTGAAATATCATTATTGTTCATTTTGTTACTATATATTTCTTTAATATATAATTAAAATTTTCATTTGCATACACTTTTGGTTATTAAGCTAAATTATAAGTTTACAAAAGCACAGACTACTAATATTAATTTAATAATTCTTCACTCTCACTTCAAAGGCTAGCATAGTGCTATGGATGTAGTTTAAAAATTAATAACATTTTCTTATCATATATTAACACATATAGTAAAAATACTGGAAAATACAGGTAGAAACAAAATGAAAATCATTCATAATCCAAATACCAAGGGGAAAAATAAAGGTTGATTTTGTTTAATAGTATTGTATTTTCCATGAAGTATGTGAATAAGTCATAGTTTTTAATAAAAATTAAATCAATAATATAGATTTTAATTAAATATTTGCTAAATTAATTAATTGATTAATCAACTCTAAAAAATGTAAAATGTATAAACTATGTCATAATAAAAGTATAAATAATTTCCTAATTGGCTTATAGGTCTGGTGTAGCAATTTGAATCTGCGGCAACTCACCCTGACGCAAGTGAAAAACACAAACGATACAATTCAATAATAAATTAGCTAGCAATGTTCTTTACTGTCCTCCAGCTTCTTTAGTTCTGAGCCTCCTGCAGGGGCACAGAGGCCAATGGCCTGGCATTGGCGGAGGGAACAGGACCTGCCCCTTCGTTTCCTAGCTTTAGACGACACGAAGGAAAGACTAGCAGCTAAAGATATGGAGGCCTCCTATCAGAGCACTTCTTTGCAAAAAAAAAAAGAGGATAACATTCTATTTTGTATTCCCTCCACTGGGAAGAAAAATTCTAAATTCCAAAGGGAAAGGCAAAAAGTTAACTAATTACCTAACTGGATTAAAAAAAATAAACATTAATTAGAAAGGTGTGCTAACAATATAGCAGTTAGTTGACACCAAAAAGATACAGAAAACTGTTGATATATGACAAATTCCTTGGGAACTTGCTCCATACTAAAGGTCAGAGGTGGGAAGTTCAGCATCGGGGTATGGAGGCTTGATGGGAGCACTGCTCAGGATGAACTTGGGAAACTTAGAAACACAACC